CAAAGTGTACAAGTCTTTTTGCAAAAACAGCTATATATTACAAAGCAAACTATAGAATGAAGTTATCTTACATTCTCAATATCTCAAAAAAAAAAAAGAGCTTCCGTTAGAGTTGAAATTTCTCGGATATTCTAATGATCGTTATACTTGTTGATGAGCGAAATTTCCGATGAATAGTTGGCTCAAACGCCGAAAACCTACTGAAATGATCAGGATGTGTAATATATGGACCTGAAACATTCTAGAATGGCACCTGATAATTGAATAGGTTCCTTCATTAGATTTTATTTTTAAAACAAACTTAAAAAACAAAATTCTATTAATCAAATATTTTTAAATTCATTGTTTGTTTCATCATTAGAATTCTATGATGATTCCATAAATTTATAATTGTATATATAGTGATATTTAAACTTTCAATCTTCGTGTATAATTATCATATTGTAAATTTTCAATGGAGGCTTAGCTTAAATAAACTAAATCTTTCTTTTTTTCACTAACTAAGAACTTATAAAAAAAAATAATTCAACGTTTCATATTTTTCTTTTCGAATATTTAATACAAAAAAAAAAAAAACAGAAATTTTTCATTTATATTCATTATAAACTTTAAACAAAAAGAATTGTATGATCGATTAAACATGAACAAGTGTATTTTTATCTTGTCAGCCATATTGTCTCTCATCACTCTTGTTTAACTTTCTTTCACAGCTGACATTTATCCCATTGGTAAAACGAATATCTTGCCGTATACAATCACATATTTATACATATATAGATATATAATATATTCGTAAAATATTCAACGATCGTTTGTGTTCAATTAGGAAAAAAAAAGAAAGAAAATATAAACAATACATTGCTTTTTTTTTCTTTTCATCTCTTTTTCTTTTTCACTAAGACGTGATACTCGAGAGCTCCGGTCGACTGACTTTCTGTCATCGTCTCTTAGCTAGTATAAGCAGAACGAAAACTTGTCGTGTGTCTTTATATGTGTGCATGTATATGTATGTGTATATCTTATCTTCCTTCTTCATTCGTTCATGACTCCTCCTTCGACGTTCGAACGG